TCAAAGGCTCCAGTGTATTAATTTAATATATATACCTGAATATTAATATGAAAGCAATTTGCCATTAACTGCCAGTGGCCTCATTTGTTACACTCGGCCCTAGAGGGCCTCGAACCTCTGACTAGTCTTACACGGTCTGTAACATAAACCAATACAACTGTTTTGACTATTGCAGGAAACCTCCTACTTTGTTCCTCACTATTGCATTACCTATTTGGGGGCCTCTTTACTTATAAAGTTGGTGATACATTTTTATTTTTATTTTTAAAGTTTCAGTAAAGAATATTGAAATTTGAGTTAAGAGTTCATAGATTGCTTCAGATAGTACTTATTTCAGTAGATTTTAAAAAGTTTAGTGTGTAACTGATTTGCCAGAATCATCAGATATTGGTGCTTTTATGAAGTCAATGACTGGTGTAAATAGTGGTCAGGTTTGGAAAGTAAAGTTCATCTTCTGTTTAAAGTCCATGCTCTTAAAATATTTATTTACTTAAGCAACAGGTTCTTTATGACAGTAAACAAAATAGATTGAAAAGAATATGAACATGTGTGGTCAGTACAAGTATTAAATTAGTTGGAAATTAAAAAAAAAAAAAACAACCTTGTTCCTAATTTTTTTGGTTGTTAAATAAAATGCTAGAAAAATACTTCAGTTATCTAAGAGATCAGTTTAAACTAATTTTGTTAATGTTTGAATACAGCTATTCGAGCTGCTTTTGAGATGACACTGACTAATGGTAACCCCATGTATGTCAGAATAGAACTGTGTTCCATAGAATTTTCAGTATCTGGTTTTTTGGAAATAGATCACCAGACCTTTTCTCCAGTGTTCCCTTCTGGCTTAAATCCTCTGCCTGCCCCGTCCCCCTATGGCACCTGTGTTACCTGAAGAAACTTAAAGTTTTGTAGCAATGAATTGTTGAAAATAAGAAAGTATAAAACTTTCTAAAGGTAGATTTCAATTTTAAAGTAGGTTTTAATTGTTGGTTGACATTTACGGTAAAGGACTCTTAATGTGGTGCCGTAGGGTAAATACTGGACTGTGACCCACAAGGTTGACAGTTCAAACCCACCAGCTGCTTCTCAGAAACCCTGTACAGGATCGATATGAGCCTGAATTGACTGATGGCACTTCACCACCACCACCATTTAAAGTAAAACTCCTTTAGTACTGAAGATAGTGATTACTCAGTTGACTAAATATTTCTTGATTGGTCTTAATAAAATCATAATCTTGATATTTTAAAGAGTTATTCATTTGCATTAGATAGGGAAAATACAAGAATAAATAATGAGTTAAACAATTAAAATCTAAATATTTTTTAAATCTACCTTTTTATTTTCTGATTATCATTATTTCTAAATTTTTTATTCTGAATTGGGTGAAGGTTTACAGACAAGATCATCAGTTTTACATTCAATAAATTTTACACTTTTTTTT